TCTTTGTCATTCTGTATGAACTTTCTGTGTGGGTAAATTCCACATGTGACTTTGAACCCTTGAATATGTTGTAGAGCTGTGGAGTGGGCAAGTAAAGGAGCTTTCACTTTTGGATTTCTGTTTTGTAGTAGGGAATCCATCCAGACATTTCTGGACCTTGAATCCACGTTTCCAGTAGTGGATATTGAGAACAGTTGTCAGTCCTGACATTTATCCAGTCTTCTGTGAAAGTACCAGTCTTCCCTAGGAAAGAAAGATAGTTTGACCTCTGTCTTCCAAAAGTGTTGCTAATACAGACATATGGGTTTTTTCATAAATAAAAAATCAAGTGAAGACAATAGTTACTCTGTTCTAGAGAGAGACTTTGTGGGGAAAATCTCCCGAGTTCAGCATTTCTTGAGTTTTGATTCCTGAGAATGAAATGTAGTCAAATAGTGTTTGCTTCCACCCAAGTAGGTCTTGCTTCATGTACAAAGTTGTGAGCTTGCAAAGTAACCTCTTCTGAAGAATAATGATTTTATGAGATATCTTCTTGTCAGAGAGGTTGTACTATTTTTCCCCTCTAAAATTTTACCAGCAACAGTTGGGGAAAAAAATTTCTCTCTTTAAAACTTCCAGGAAATTTAAGCTGAGTAATGTACTGTTCATTGGCTGCGGCAAAGCTTCTCAGGAGAGCATGTAGTAGCAACTGTATTTTGATTTCTGATGCAGAGCTGATTTGTTCAAGTATTGTAGTTCACTGCTTCTTGGTGCCAGCTCACAGTCTCTGGAGAACCAAAGGTTCACCACTGCTGTGTCAAGGAGATGCAGGCTGCTTGCCTACCCTGTGGTCAGAGAGGCGCCCATGAAGAGGAGATGCCTGCAGTTTGGTTTGTGATTCATGCCTGACTTGCCATGAGTAAGGACTGGGGCTGTGAGGAAGGAAGAACAACAGCAATGTCTCTGGGCAAAATTAATTGGATCTGGGTTACGGGCAAGATGTTTCTCAACCCTGGGATTGAAGGCGTGTTAGTGCAAAAAATGTTGAGCTAAGCCAGATAAGTTTAGATGATATGTCTTGAATGGCAGATGTTTGACTCTTCTTGCATTTTTGTCCTTCCAAGAAAAGGGGTAGTCTTCCCTTCCGCACAGTTCAGCACGCCCAAAACTTGGTTGTGCGTAAACCAGACAGTGTAATTCTTCTCAGCAGTGATGCTGAGTGTCCATTTTTACCACTTGTGATAGTTTTGGGAAGTAATCACAGTATTTGTGAGGATTGCATCATGTTTTGAGGGTGATTGCATAGGAGAACCAAGTTTCAAACGAATTTTGTCTGTGTAAGTCTTCATTGTGATGGTCTTGGTTGTTCTATAGGTAAACATGACAATTACCTTGAAGAGTGGTGTCATGACGTACTTTGTGGGATTGCCAAGACCTTGTGTATCCCATTGCTCAAAGTGTTTATTTCAGATAGACTGGTGTGGTATTTTCACATGGTATTTTGAGGAATCTTAATATGAGCCTTTCTGTACATAGTTTTTGCTTTTCTTATTTGTATCACCATGTAGTAGCATCAAAAGAGTCATGGGCTGCTGCTTAAGCTAAAAAATGAGTGCTTGCAATGCTTTGCCTTCCTCTTGTGCTCTGCTCTTTATCTTGTTTCTGTGGCGTATTGGGGTAGGAGTTAGAAAAGACAGCAAATCCTTTAAGTAAGAAGTGTGGGTGGGGCTTGATTGCCCTCACTGTGGATCCCTACCAGAAGTATTGGGGGAGTTTATTTTTTATTTTAAACAAATACTTTAATTGTCCAGTGGTTATTAACCTGCCTTCATAAAACAATGACTTGTTCTAGTTCAGGCTGCAGATAGCAGACACTCTCCTAAGTGATGTTAGGTTAAAGCTTATTTTCTTGGACTTTTTTGAGTTACAGACTAACACTAAAAATCTCACTGTCAGACTGGGAGAGCTGTGCTGATGTGAAAGTATGCAGTTTCCTAGGCCCTAATTCCTGCTAAAACAAGCCCACACAACTCTCTAGACTTAGCTTGCAAGCAATCACAGCTTGGAAGAACTTTGGGAACTGCTGTGCTTCCCCTGCCCCATTCCCACATATAATTTCTGGTTGGAATTTAGTGGTTGCTTTTGTTCAGCCTTCCAAATTAAAAGATGTTCTGACATCTCCTTTTAAACATCTTACATTTCCAGGTATTCTTGAACATTGATAAGAGTTGACAGACATGTGGCTAAAATTTTCTCAATTTGAATGTTTTCTTTGAATTTATGTTATTTTTCACAGTGAGGGTGATAAAACACTGGAGCAGGTTGCCCAGACAAGTTGTGGATGCCCCATCCCTGGAAATATTCAAGGCCATGTTGGATGGGGCTCTGGGCAACCTTATCTAGTTGCAGATGTCCCTGCTCATTCCGAGGAGGTTCATAGAATCACAGAATGCTTTGGGTTGGAAGGGACTATAAAGATTATGTAGTTCCAACACCCTTGCGGTGGGCAGGGACACCTTCCACTAGAGTTGAACTCAGAGAAAGGCTTAGGTTGGAAGGGAAGTTAAAGATTATCTAATTCTAGAGGTGAAAGAGCACAAAATATCAAGTGTCCAGAAAATAGTGAGGTTCTTGGGGAATGTTAATGAAGGCAAAAATGAGAATAAAGGGTGAATATGGATCTTTAAACACTTATTGAATGTGATTTTAATTGTCATACAGCTCCAGGTATGAATCTGGTGATTTGTTGACCTGCAAAATTTTAACACATTTGGGACAATGCTATATGTAAAACTTAGAATCTCATAGTTGAAGAGGAAACATACTTTACCAGATTGTTTGCTGAAATATATTAGATTTTTCAAGACTGATTGCCATATTCTTGCTTAATTTGTGACATATAAATAAGAAATTGTGCTTTTCCCTGCATATTTAAACAGAAGTTGCCTTACAGCATAAATTCTTTAGAGAGGTTATGGTGATGATCATAACTCCAGTCAAGCAATTGTTACTGTATTTTTAGCACTTCGCAGCCACTGACCGTATGAATATATTGTGGTAGTCTTAATCCTCCTGTCACTGGTTCTAAAAAAGTGATGAGTGTCACAGCTACCTGCTGATCAAAGCATAGTATTTCAGATAAGGACTGTGTTATGTTGCTCATGTGTCATTTTCCATGAATCAAAAAAATGGTCAGAATTTGCTGCTGACAGCTTTAGGAGCATTTCTTCATCTTGTCCAGATAGTTTCTATAAGCATTAGCCACATTATGCAGTTTCCATTAGTTTTAAAGAGATCTAAGTGCTGCTCTATTTTTGCCATTGGGTGTAAGTTGAGTATTACAGCAATGCTCACACTGCCTATTGACTTCTAGGCATCTGACTGAGATTTATCAGTATCCAATCTAGATTTATTTATACTCTCATAATCTGAAGGGGGGGGGGTGTTCTTGAAGTGCAATTTCACAAGCAGCCTGCAAGAAGACCCTTTCATTGAGACCACACTGAAACAAATTGGTATATGCCAAAGATAGGGCAGTAAAATTCCAAATTCAAGTGCATAGGGACTGTATCCCAAAGCCCTCACCTCACGTCTTTTCTGTCATTCATCTCCCCAGTGAGTTTCTGGTTTGCTTTATTTTGGTGGTTTTAGCTATTTGTATTTCCCTATGAAGGAGCAGGGGTAAAGAATTCCATCTGTGCACAGGTGAGGAGAATGACAGATGTAATGGGACCTTCTTAAGAGCAGATATTAAGTTTTTTTAATGGAAAATGTCTTTGCTTATCTGTATAAACACCGACGAGACATGATTAACATAGTTACTTGTCTATACTGGCAAGTACATCAGCTCACAGTCCCTTCGGAGTTTTTTTACTGTTCTTTGAAAAGCAGTGCCAAAAGCTCTGGAAATTTTGTAGGTTTAAGGCTTTGAAATTAGGTTTATGCAGGTAAAGAGGAAGCATTTTATAGTAACATCCTCTCAAAGTGCTGTGGTTTTTAGAGCAAGCTGTTAATATCTTATTAGAAAAATTATTTATTCCCTTGACTGTCTTCTAGTGAGCAATACAAATACTTGAACAGATTAACAGTTCTTTGGAAGGAGTAAGGCTCAGCAGAATGTATTTGAAGAGGTGGTGGTTTTAAGTAATAACCTTCTAATGCTGTTTTGGGGGTATCCATTCAGAATTCTTGCATTCATTGATTAAAAAATTAAATGTTTGTCAAGAATTTCCCAACTAAAACTTCCTCCTACTTAATAACCAAATTATCGCTGGCAAACTGCATTTCCTGCAAAGGACACACACCATGACCTTTATGCAGCAGGTTGGGGCATTTCTAGAACTCGTTCTGGTGCTGCCTGGTATTATCAGCACAGCTCTGTAAACACAATTATTGCCTGCATTTCCTCTTTGCTAATCTGAGCCGTAATATTTTGTACTTTGAAAAGTATTGACAAAAGCTAAGTTGAAATTGTATGCTGTTTAAAAAGCAGTATCATTCCTTCGTCAGATAAAGCCAGTATATTTTTGTTAGCAGTCCCAGTTTTGGTTTTAGAGTATTGGCAAGACAAGAATGAGTCTTTCTGGCAGCTGGACGGTGTTAGCCCTCTGCATGAGAACCTCTGAGTGACATTGAATGCCAGTTGTTTATCGGTGAACCAGGGGAGTATTTGGTTCACACAGGGTATGCTGAGCAACGTGCATCCTGCCCGGGCTGCAAACAATCAGCAGCGACAGGAAACTGCTTTGCACCAGCTTTAAAGGACGACAGAGCTTGTTTGAGAGCCGAGGGTAAAGCAATCTAGCTGAGGGATTGTCTCAGCTCGTGCTTGCACATCTGGGAAGCAGGTTTGTGTTGCATAACGTCGTTGCCAAACTGGTAGGAGCTGGGTGTGTCTACATCTAACTTTGTCTCTTGAGAAACTAAGCTTTTATTTTGCAAGTGATGTGCTTTATTTTAAAATCTTCATTCTCTTTAGCTGTTCACTGTTTGGGTTTTTTGTTGTTTTGTTTTGTTTCCAGGAGGTCCAAACATATGGGCCATCACCTCTGAAGAGCGGGCCAAACATGACAAGCAGTTCGATAGCCTTAAACCCACAGGAGGCTACATTACAGGTTGGTCTAAAGCTCTGCATTACACATTAACTTCTGTGTATACATACCTATCCTATTTCTAGCCCTTTGTTGTGTGACTAATAACCATACTCTTCAGGCAAACAGCCACAGGTTATTAGTAAACTTTACAGGCTTTCCTCTAAACTCTGGCAGGGGAATGCTGTTCTGTTAACCCTATCATTTCTGCAGCTGGCAGCTATGTGCTGCCATTCTGTCTTGTTTCAGAAATCAAAGAGTATCAAGAGAAATCTCTGCTTAGATGGGAGGCTGCCAAGGAGCACTTACAGTAGCTATTGTGGCGAGTGACGCCAAAGACACCAGAAGTGGCTCTTCTGTCTGTGCAGTGTTAGAAAATACTGTGCTGTTAGATGTCTTTGTTTTGGAGGAGGAGGAGGAGGCAGGGAGTGAGATGCTGACAGCTTGTGCTTGTTAGCGACTGCTTGAAATTTATTAACAGTTGAGCCTCCAGCAGGTTCTGAATAGGCTAATGGCATTTTACAGTGCCTCGCTGTCAGTTCCAGTTGCATTCAGCTGCTTCTTCTTTGAAACAATTGGGTCATGTTGCTGTGCACCTCATAATTTGCAGGTTTTAAATTAAGAATCTGCTTGTGATATCAAGAAAAGTTCATTGGCAAAGTGACTTTATTTAAGAATGCCCTGTTCTTTGTGTGTGTTGGGCACTAAAGCTCAGCCCTGATTGCTCCTACCTGCCCCACTATCTGCTAATGCTGTCTGGTGACTCCACTGCCCCTGCTGTTCCTCTTTTTGGGCCAAAGAGAACTGAGGAGAGAGTGGGAAGTTGTCTGTTTGGAACATACACATCTTCTGACTAAGTGATACTTATCTCCCGCTTTGGCCAAACAGCACTGGGAGGTTGGTGTTTACCTCCAGCTGAAAAGTATACACCTCTGGGGGACTACCTTTAGGGCACATCTGGGCTCTTACCTGCATGTATATCTGCAGGCTTTGTTATTTATTTGGCAAGTGATTGAAATGAAAGGCTGTGTATTAATATAAGGGAAGAGAGAGCTGAAAGAATAACCTGAAGCCTTATCTTTAAGCATCTGTAATTCACTCATAGGTAAGCATAAACACCACTGTCTGTGTTTTGTTACATGTTTGTTTGCAGCATGATCAGTATCAGTTGATGTGGAACTTGGTATGAGGTTGCACAATAGTTCCCATTCCCTTCCTGAAATACTAAAATAGTGGGTGTTCTCTGACAGAACAGAGTATTCTTTAGAACATGGTATTTTCCTGGTTTTCCTAGGGACACAATACTGGCTCAAGTTAGATTGCATAAAGGAGAAGGAAAGAAAAAAGCATGCTCATAATTTCCTGTAAAAGTAATTGGGGCAGGACTAAATTTCCAGTCATTTTTACTTCTTTAAATCTCACATCTTTTAAACTGTTGACAGCTGTTGATTTGTGATCTGTTAAAGTTTTTATAGCTATCTGAAATCACTTCTCAGAGTGAAGGCTGGGAATTAGAGAATACATGAGTATGTGACAATCACTGTCACCAGGGTTAAAAGCTGGAAAAAAAAACCCTAGAAAGCTTTGCATCCAGCCCTGGTTCCTTTTGAAAGCTTGATCCCCCAAGAGAGTGCTGAGCTCTTCTGAAAAATGTATGCCCCTGGTGTAAAAGGATGTCTTTTTTTTCTTGTTTATCATAGGTGATCAAGCACGTACCTTTTTTTTGCAGTCAGGTCTACCACCTTCAATCCTTGCTGAAATATGGTAAGGTATTCTGTCCTGGTTTTGTTGGGGTTTTCTTTTGTTTTCTTTTGTTTTTAAGATAGGAGATGCATAGCATTCAGGTACTATCTTTGGTATGTTGTGTTTTGTCACAGAGGCTTTCAGCTGTCAAAGTAGAAGTGTTGTCTGAAACATTGTTTTAATTTTACTGAATTTAGAGGAAGGATTCAGCCCAGATGTGTACCAACATTTGATCAAAAAGCAGTGTTTTTTTTTAACTTTCTTATGACATTAATTCAAATTGGATCATGTTGAACACAGCCTTTTTAAACTGAGTGTTTGTCCTTGAAACAAAAAGCAATGATAAATTGCAAGACTTTTATAGAGGGAGGGACCTATTAGACTGCCACAAAAATAATTGCTAAGCCTTGTCTTTATATTTTTGATAATAATATTGAAAAAGAGGTAAAAATATAGCGTTAAATAATATAAAACATCGAAATAGAGGTAAATAATGGGTTAATGAATTGCTGGAGATGCCAAATTGAATCATGTTTGAAATACTAGTAACCACTAAAAATGGCAGTAAGATAAAGTGTGGGGAAAAATTTTATGCTACCAAACTGGGAGTGGAAAATACACTGAAAGCAGAAGACAGGGAAAAAAAATCTAAAGCTACAGAAAAGTTTAGTAGAACAGTTACAATACACTGAGATACTAACTAATGCTGTAACATGGGAGCTGAAAAAAGTGCTGTTCTTTGCAGCGTATGTGTGGTGGTTGCAACACTTGAAAGAGACATTTTCTTCTTTGTAACTCCTCAGTCTTCACTAGAATTCTTGGGTCATTATGGGGTACATGGTTGTTACCAAAATGTAGGTGTGCTAAAAGAAACATAGTTGAGGCTCATAATAATTAAGAACAACTCGCTTGTGAAAGAACTTTAAAGAAACTAACTAAATACAAGTTAGTTTTTCCTTCAGACACAGAGAATCATAGAGTCGTTAAGGTTAGAAAAGACTTGTAGGATCATCAGTTCCAACCATGAACCCAGCGCCACCATGATGTTCACCACTAAACCTGACACTTAAGTGCCCAGAGAAGAGTGGCAAGGAAATTTTTCTGTGGGACCTTGGGGTTTTATACTGAATACTAACAGAATGAAAGGAAGAATGTAGCTTAGCTTTCTTTTTTTGTCCTAAATTTATTTACACTCCTGTGCTTGGTCCTTGCATGCTTAAGTGTTAATAAGACTTCATAGTATCTTTCTGACCAGAGATTTTGTGGTTAGGTATGCACTATTGCATATATTTCCTGTTGTATTTAGTTGGAAAAGTGTCAAAGACAGTGTGGGTATCAGGCTTATGAAACCTCACCACGCTGTTTGTGAATTAATGGAGTTTTTGTGGCAGTGTATAGTGCCTTTAGCAGGTTTCTGCATCCTCCTGCATCCTGTTTCAGATTCTTGCACTAATTCCTCACTTTAACAGACATTAATTTAGAATTATTCTGGGTAGTAGCATAGCAAAAAGTATAGCAGAGGCAGCAAGTGTATTCACTGGGCAGGAGCCTTCTGCCTTTTCAGATGTTTTCCTGCTTTCTCAGGTATAAGTATTTAGTATACAGCAACTTTAAAACTGAACTCTGCAGAAGATTGTGAACTATGTAGTCAAACTTCTAAAACTTCTGAGGGTATGAATGTTGTCAAAAGCAGAAAATCCACAAATGGTTGCAATGTTTCTTGCTTTCCTGTACAGAAGCAGTAATTAAGTCTGATAGAAAAGCTTCTCATTAAGTGAAAAAGTTAAATTTATGTTTCTTCCTCGTGGGCTTTCCTGATTTGATTTTATTTTGTTTCCAAGGACACTATCAGACCTGAACAAGGATGGAAAAATGGATCAATTGGAGTTCTCTATAGCCATGAAACTTATCAAGCTGAAATTGCAAGGACAGCACTTGCCTACAGTTCTCCCTCCTGTCATGAAACAAACTCCAGTATTTTCACCACTAATGTCAGCTCGCTTTGGTACTTATGAATATATAATTACTTAGTGTTCAGAGGTAAAAAATGACAGTTAATTGCAGCCAAATAAAAGATTAGTCTGACCATGGAAGTTTACTGAATCAGTGAGAAAAAAACCCCAAGAGTATTCACCAAGTCACTTTATTTAATTCTTTAAAGATGTTTAATAATGAAGAAAAACTTCTGTTGGATTTGACCTGAGGTGCAAGAAGGCCATTGACATCTGCCATCTGACTTGCAGGCTCTCACTTTGTATTGGTGGCCTTTTTTTTGTCTCCCTCCTACGCATTCACCTATTTATACTTGAGGGTACTAAAATCAAATTTAGTTAAAGGTCAATGTTTTGGTAGAACAGCTGTTTTACATATTTTTTCAAAATGAATCAGATTGTCTTTTGGTTATATGATTAAGTGAATAGAGTTGTTTGACTTATTTTCTTCCTTTCTGATGGTGCTTGGGGTTCAGTGCATTCTTGTTGTTATTTTTTTGTTTTGTAGAACAAAATATAACCATAATGACTTCAGCTGGATTACAAAATGTGTGCATACTTCTATGCTGAAATTAAATGTATGCATATATTAATTACATACATGGTTTAAAATGTCTGACCATCCCTAAATCTTGTGTGTTTGCATACAAGGGCATGCATTTATGGAGAGCTATGGTTGGCATACAGCTACCTTCTGGTAGCTTTCCATCATCTCACCTGCATACTCTTGTCTTCACAAGATTTAGCCAGTAATTCAAAGTGCCCTTGTTTGTCTCAGGCAGCCTTCAAGAAACACTTTGCTAAGCATTTGTCTCTAAATAAGGACTTTTCACCCATGTGGATTCTTCCAAGGCTGATGCTTGGAAGAGACTTAGTTCAGAAACAGTGTCAGCTTATCCCTGTAGATCTTTGTCACAGCTTTTAAGGTGTGTTGCAATTCTCTCTCAGGGATGAGGTGTGGAATGACTTGTTCAAGAACTGTGTGTAGCTCCAGTTACAGAAAACCAGATATTACTCTGTGGTGAAATACTAGCTTAAATCTACCTTGAGAAGGAATTTGTTTATAAAGTTGTTTTTTTTAATTCATGTTCTTCAATATATTTTTGTCTGTGAGCTGTCTCGTCTACATTTAGAGGAAAAGGAAATATTATACATGAGTATCTATTTTAACTCATTGTATTCCAGACATGGGTTGGTTTTATACTTTCTGCCTAGCATAAGGGACTCAGTTTCTTGCTGAAGCCTTTGCAATATTAAATCATGAATTATTGGATTTTACTCTAGGAATGGGTAGTATGCCAAATCTGTCCATGCCAACGTCTATGTCTGCGATCACACCATTAGCTCCCATGTCTCTGACCTCCATGACTTCCATTCCTCCTTTGGTTATCTCTGCTCCTCTGGTGCCTTCTGTCAGTACCTCCTCATTGCCAAATGGAACATCCAGCCTTCTGCAGCCTTTGTCCGTACCTTTCTCTTCAAGTAAGTATAGTACAGTCCAGTATTGGTTTCAGAATTGTGACTCATATTTTCTCTGTGGCTAATTTCAGACAGGAATGCTAATACATGCATGTGAGTTTCAAAAAAACCCCAAACAAATGGTGTTTTTTCCAAAGTGCACATTTGTGAATTCTGTTCTATATAGTTAACAACAAGACACTGATTAGCTTTTCTTACTTCTATCAAAGCCTTGAATGTTAATTATAAAGCATTACCCTTATACTTGTTTGCTTTGCAGTTTCAGGGTTTATTTTGTACTTTTGGTTGTTTGTTTCAGCACTGCCTCATACTGGTTCTTTGGGTCCCATGACAGGAGGGTTTGGTGGTTCTAGTATGCAGAAGGCACAGTCACTAATCGATTTAGGATCTAGCAGGTATGAAAGTTCAGTTTAAAACGGTTGTATCTTACACTTAGTAATACACCTTCCGAAACGTATGCAGCATTTCTATTTTCAAAGTATATTCATTAAAAATTAGTCTATCTAATATGACCTACCAAGTCTGAAAATGCTTCTTTTTTTATAAGAACATGAAGTAATATTTTCAGTAAATCTGACCAAATTATCCAAAGTAGGTGAAGAGTTCAAACGAGCAGTGCCAAAAAAAGAGAATGTACTCCATTAGTAAACAGAAATAAAACTGGCTAAGTGGTTATAAAAGCAAAAATGCATTGATGTGCTCATTCATTATAGAGGGCACCATGTAATCAGCAGGCATGTAGGAATAGGATTTGTTATCAATATTTATGTGTGAATTTGTTTTATGAATAATAGAAGATTATGAATCTTTCTAATCAGCTGCTCTGGTTCACTGATTTTAGAGCTTTGCCACAGACAAAGTGATGGACTAGGCTTATCTATCCAATTGGGCATCCAGGGGTGTCACCCCAAAGACAGTCCAGAGGGCACCTCAGCCCCAGCTCAGTTCTGTAAAGCGACTCAGAGGCTCCTGCACTTCTTTGGTGCCTATGCAGGGCATCTAGGATGATGTGTGTCTGATTTGGGCTCCTCAGACAGACACCCAGTGTTAGCAGATGTTCAATAAGATCACTGCAGGCACGGTGTGTGCCTGGAATCATATTTTGGTTGGTTTTTTTTTAATTGGAAAGCTTTCCTTTCCTGGTGCTATAGTGTTGCAAACTAGCTCTTCTTCAGTGTTAACTGTTGGCAGCATTTTTGCCATCATGTTGTTTAATTCTGTGCCAGAGATGTCTGCTCAGCATCATGCTGGAGGGGCTTCTGTTGGTATTCTTTATAGCCTTGGATAATACTGCAAATAGTTCTTGACTTGACAGGGTAGGGGATTACCTTAAACAAGGCAGGCTGGATGCACCTGGGTCTGTCTCATTTTCAAAGATGGGACACTGAAAATCCTGGGAGTTGCAGATGGAAGTTTTATATCTAAACACTCTATCAGCACTGTTCTGCAGAAACTGAATGAGTTATAAAAGATCCATTCAGGCTGTCACTGCTACTAATAGAAAGAAGAGGTAGATGTGGAATATAGTGTTTTAAGCAGCTTCTAAAGCTACTTTTGGTTATGAGTTTATTTGGTACATTTTTATTACAGTTATTCATTTGCATGCCTATTAAAGTTACTTAGACATCTGTCCAGTGCTTCACAGCCCTTGTAAACACTCTTAGGGAAGTAACATGTTTTCCTATGGTTTCCTATGGTATTATTTTGCAGTTGTAGAAGGATGAATTATGTGGCATTAAGTGCCTATGATACTAAAGGAACAGGATCTTCAATTCATATATGTGCCCCTAGTTTCACAGTAAAATTCTATATTTGTGATGAAAATATTTATAGCAAGTTAGTAGAGGTAAAACTTTGTGGAAGTTGTTTCATGTTACCAGAAGATACTATCTATCTTCTGTTCCAATGCCTGTTTATTAAGCCCAGTGATTTAGAATTCTTTCTTTATCTCCTTTTCTCTTTTGTTTTTTTTAAATATTTGGTTGGTTGCTTTGGTTTGGTTTTTTGCTTTGTTTTTGTTTTCTTTTGTTTTGAAATTATATTACAGTTCAAATTCTTCCTCTAGTGCATCACTAGCTGGGAATTCACCAAAGATTACATCTTCAGACTGGGCAGTTCCTCAAGCCTCCAGATTAAAATACAGACAGAAATTTAACAGTCTTGACAAAAGTATGAGTGGATATTTATCAGGTGAGTATGGCTTTTGGTATGGATGGGGAAAACTAGAGTGTTTTCTGCCTCTGGAACATTCCAGGCTGAGGGATGGAATCTGGGCTCAGGATTTGACTTCCATATGAAATAAAAGCTGAAATTGTTGGTGTTCAGAACTGTGCAGGAGAGAGTGGGTTTCAGCTACTGGTTCCAGTCAGCCAAGACATAACCTTGACTTGTGCTCTGTGCTAGGCCTGGAGGAGCCTGAGGAGGCAGCTGACTCCCCAGGAACATTGGGGAAGCCACAGCAGCTGCTTCAGGAAGGAAGAAAACCCTGGCAGTAGTGGGTTCTAACAAGAGCCTGGGAACCACAAGGCTGTGGAATTTAGCTCTGTAAAGTCAGCAGGCAATTTTTCAAGCATCACTCTTTAAGCTGAGACTCTTATGAAGATGGGGATCATTCACAATCATTTTTGTGCCATGTGCTCCTATGTATCTATTAGTCATTGCTTAGATATTTGGGCTTTATCTTTTTAAAGAAAGCAGTTTGGGAAAGACACTGTGGAACCATTCATTGGAATTTTTCCAGAGTAATTTAAAGGAGTCATTCCTTGTTAACTTCAGTGACATCTGTGCTGTGGCATGGCATTATGGTGATTTCAAAAGACTTCACACAATGCTAATACAAGAGTAGAGTTAACAAAAGTTCGTATAAAAGTGGATTACTCACTGTAATGCAGCGTGTAGAGCACTGCCCAAGCAGTCTGTAGATGTAAAGTCAGTATTTGTGTCTTTAGTTAGATCTCCCATTTTGGAGAAGCACTCTGCCTCATTTCCCTAGCCTACAAAACAAGGAGGGGAATTTTCTTTCAAAAAAGAGTCTATATGCTTTTTATCTTGTTCAGTTGAAGGCTGAAGGTTTCATCGTCCTGGCTAGAAAGGTATATGTTTCTTTGCTGATGGCTTTGCAATGTGCTCGCTCAGGGTCTAGGTATATAATCACCTGTGCTTTTGTAACAGCTGTGGGGATTACCATAAATCTCCATTTTTCATGTCAGCTTTTCAGTTAGGTGCTCTGAGTGAAAAAACTGCACAAGAATACTTACATCTTCATTGTGTTCAGGTTGTAATGCCTGTTGTTAAGCCTGGAAGTAAAAGCAACTGATGAAAATGTATTAGATTAATATTAAAAATAAACATGCCCCAGTTCATGACCCATTTTTTGCTATATGTGAATCTTTGAACAAAGTGTTTATTAAAGTCTTTTGCACTTTAACTAAGGATTTCAAGCAAGGAATGCCCTTCTGCAATCAAACCTTTCACAGACTCAGCTGGCTACTATTTGGTGAGTTTAGTTACTGATTACAATTTTAATGTGTTTATGCTGTTAAGAGAGGAAATGTACCTTATTAAAGAAGAAATGATAAAGAGGCACCATATATCTAAAGTCATAAACAGAAACCAAGCTGCTGCTTAAAGCAGCTGTTCATTGATTACATTTCCAGAAGACACCTTGCCAGAATAATATTTTTTTATTCTCTGTGTTTGTTAATCTCCATGTAATAGAACAGACATTAATTTCAGTTTCTGATTCAATGCTGCAGTGGTTTAGCTGAGATGAGGGTTAGTTAATTTCAAAAGTAGGATTCTGAAATCTAGCTTGTTAGTTTCAAAATACAGAGGAAGATTAAAAAGGAAGTAACCCTTTAGCTTTTCTGAGTTTTATTGTGGTTTCCATAAAGATATCTGCATATTACACATTTAAGACTTGCCTTTATTGTGGAAATGGAAGTGGTTACATTTGTCTGAAGGCTTGAATGATCTGCCCTGCTGGATATGGTAGCTTAGGCTACACCTTCAGACATGACTTGGATGTTATACATAAAATTTAGTAGCCCAGCAGAATTTACAACAGCTTGGTGCTTTATATCTCCTCCTGAGTTCCCTTTCTTCTTCCTCCATCCCAGGACAGTCATGTCTTTGTCTTTAGCAGCAGCAAGCTGAAATATTCTTTCTATTTGTTCAGTTTGTGTGGTTGCATGCTGTGAAGGTAAACATGGAGTATGGGATTGTATTTCTCTGTATTTCTCTGGAGTATGGGGGAATAAAGCAGGTGTGTGGGGGCTGTTTTCCTCCTGGGTGCACATCCTGAAGGTATCGGTAGCCAATGGGAGGAGATCTGTGTGCCCATGTAAAGAGGATTGACAACCCAAGTTTCAGTTTTGCCCAAAGTAAGGAATTAGCAATGTTTCTCCTGGGTGTGCTGTGTTCATGGTGATTATCTAGTAATGGTGCTGTTCTGTGTGAATAGTAGCAGCCTGTGAACATAACAAAATTCTCATTTCATCATCTCCTGCTTTTGTTTTTCACTGGGGGGAGGTGATGGTTTTTTTGTTTTTGTTGTTTCCTTTTTGTTTTCATAGTGGGTTTTTCTCTTTTTTTAACGAGCAGTTATTTTATTAAGCATTTTGCTTAAGTGCAGTCTTAGGGATACATTCCAGAAATTGTATCTACATAGATAGTCCTTTGAGAAAGGTTCCTGCTTTCCTGCCTACATCTCTGGAAATATTTCACTAGTTTCCCACCCACAGTTGTGTGGGAAACATTTTGTAGACTAATAATACAATTGTGTTGCTCACGTTCTCCTTGGAGGGGGTAGTTGTTGCTTTTCCTATTCAGTGCAAGGTACTCTGAGGCAGCTCACGTGTTTCCTGCACTGTCCAGGAGACACAAGGGAAAAAAAAACAGTTCTGTGCATAAGTTCCTGTTACAGAATTTGATGTAATTTGATACAATGTTTTCTTCTGCTTAAAAAAAAAGAAAAAGTCATATCTAGCATTTTGAGCTGGCTGAGAACAGCCCTGGATTCTCTTCCCAGCTCTTCTGCTGGTGATACAATAAATCAAGAGATATCTCTTATCCTTTCCTATCATTTTTGCTGTGTTTTATGAAAACATAACAGAATTGGGGTTATTCAGCCTAGAGAAGCGAAGGCTTTGGGTGACCTAATTGCAACCTACCCCAGTACCTGAAGGGAGCCTACAAGAAAGACAGAGAGAGACTATTTACAAGATTCTGGTGTGACAGGACAAGGGGGAATGGCTTCACACTGACAGAGAGTAGGTTTAGATTAGATATTAGGAAGAAATACTTCCCTGTGAGGATGGTGAGGCACGGGTACAGGTTGCCTAGAGAAGCTGTGGATGCCCCATCCCTGGCAGTGTTCAAGGCCAGGTTGGATGGGGCTTGGAGCAACTAGGTCTAGTGGAAGGGGTCCTTGCCCATTTAAGGTCCCTTCTGACCCAAACCATTCTATGATTTTACATTCTGAATAACAGTACATTATTAAGCAAAATAATATCTCCTTTCATCAGTTATTCATGTTATTAATTGTAAGCATTTTTACCAGAACATTTCACAGGAATTCTCTTGTTTTAAAAATTATTTTTACAGTAAATTGTTTCAGCTGCTGTTTGTGAGTGATTGTGATGTTTGGTTATAATTGGTGTTGCTGTTAAAACCATGCAGGTCACTAGCTGATATTGATGGAGATGGGCAGCTGAAGGCTGATGAGTTTGTGTTAGCCATGCACCTAACTGACATGGCCAAAGCTGGACAGCCCCTGCCACTGACTCTGCCTCTAGAGCTGGTACCACCTTCTTTCAGGTAATCACCTAGGGCAGTGAAATGTAATATATTTAACATAACTGTTCTATTTCTGTAACAGTGGTGGTTTGGTTGTTTCCCTCCAGGAGTGGAAAATATACTGAAAATATAAATGGAACTCTGCCGTCTTACCACTCTGTGCAAGAGGAGGAGCCACAGAAAAAACAGCCAGGTAAAGCAGGGTTCACATCATTAATGTACTGGGCTGGTTTTGAAGGGCACTGAAGCCTTTAGAAAGTGGAAGACGTAATCAAATCTGTAGAGAACTTCATTTCCAGAGGCAGATCCTTTTTAACTTGGATGGTAAGAAGGTTAAGTGGATGTAGTCAGCCTGTTACATCTAACAGACTTGAGAAGGCCTAGACAGGGGCTATTTTTAGCTGTAGGAAAGGAAAAAATGTGCTGATTAATAATGTATTTTGGAAAATAAGTCGTTCATGGCCAAATGCTGCTGTGCTGCAGATTTTTTTCATTTGAAAGTTCCTGGCATTGCTTTGTTCTGGACATTCTCAAAGCAAAGGGTTGTGATGTAGTTTAATTCTCTTATGCACACTGTGAGACAGGACTTGCCTCTCTTTTTGGAAAGGTGGTTGCTGGGGGGCTGAACCATTCCTTTGTGTCTCTTTTTATCCTAGTGTGCTTTAATTGAGCTTAATCCTGTCTTTGTTGCTGATGGTTAAACCTCCAGGAGCTCTTACAGGGAACACCCTTAAAAACTAAACTCTTTATCTGTGTGTTAATGTTTTTCACACATTGGAAAACCTTATAAACAGCAGACAGTCTTCTCCCATCTTATAAAAGCTGTTCTCTTATGTTTCCTCTAACATTCAAGTAATTTTTGTGGTCAGTTGTGGACTGCAACGTTTTTGTTTTTTTTGGCAATTGGAATAGACTTAGGAAAATATAGAGGTATTTTTGAACAGAAAAATAATAGTTTAACAAATGCAAGATGGTTACATCATCCATGACTGAACAACCTGAGCTTGCCAAAAAGTATCTATCTTTAGTGGCATAAGCAAGGTACTTGTTTGAGAGCAGTGTTTTGCACAGGACAGAAATAATGACCTTTCCTTATTCTAGTGACCTTTGAAGACAAAAGGAAAGCCAACTATGAGAGGGGAAATATGGAGCTGGAAAAACGCCGTCAGGTCCTGCTGGAGCAACAGCAGAGAGAGGCTGAACGTAAGGCTCAGAAAGAAAGAGAAAAACAAGAGCGAAGAGAGAGGGAACGTCAGGAACAGGAACGGAAAAGACAACTCGAAATGGAAAGGCAGCTGGAGAGACAACGAGAGCTGGAACGACAAAGGGAAGAAGAAAGGAGGAAAGAAATAGAAAGGCGGGAGGTTGTTTTCTTGATATTCTTCTCTAATGCTCTAAGGAATGTGTACATGTATACAGTATCCACGAGGCAGAGCATTCAGGATTTGAATGCTGCCTTCAGTTCTGTCTCCTCAGTGGCCTCTCCAATGGCTATTGGCAGGTTGTCTGGGAGAGAGAACATAATTTCTGTCTAAATACATCATGTATGTTACAAATTAATCAAGTGTTGGTATAGGCTGAAGGTTTTCAGATACTCCACAGGACAGATGAGATTTTCTTGGACGTATTTCTTGGATTTTCACAAAAATTTGTATTCCATACAAGATTGTACAGAATTCATAATTGATAACATTTTGACAGCTGAACTTGAGACAAATTTGCTTCTACTTGGTGTCTCAGCACATGCATCAGACTTGCATAATTTATGTAATTCTGTGAAATACTCAAAGGAGGTTACAAGCAGTATCTGCCAATGTGCTATTTTATGGGCAGTATTCCAAGCTACATAGACTTCCTCTCTGAATTATGTAGCTTTTCTTCATCCAGTAATAGGAGAGTGGCTTGAAGAATCTTAGAGGATCACTTCCTTGATTCTTTGATGCTGCAGTATCTAAGAGCACTTTACAGAAGACATTATGTTGTGTTGCTGTTATGCTATTTAGAAATAGAGCACATTATGTTAAGTCATGGTCTCTGAGTTCTGCATCCTGTTGTAATTTAAGGTAATGTAACTTTTCTACAGGCAGCGAAGCGAGAACTTGAGCGCCAGCGACGACTGGAATGGGAGAGAATTCGTCGCCAAGAACTCCTTAATCAGCGTAACAGGGAACAAGAAGAAATTGTCAAGTTGACCTCTAAAAAGAAGAGCCTTAATCTTGAATTAGAAGCCCTGGTAAGACAGGATTTTCACTACACATGTTGACATACAGTATTTTAAACTATGCAAATCTTACTATCTGCGTTAACAGCCCACTAGGAGTTTCCCATGTTCCAGATGAGGAAACTACAGCAGGTATTTTGGGTTGTTTTAAAGAACTGATTGTGAACTAATCTGCCCACAGATTTAGCAGAGAAGTGATTTTTGCCATATGTGGTATAATCTGTCCTTGCTTTATTCCTAGACGGACAAACATCAGCAAATCTCAGGCAGATTGCAAGATATTAGAAGCAAAAAGCAAATTCGAAAAACTGAACTGGAGGCTTTGGATAAGAAATATGACCAAGGAATCATGGAAGTCAAGCAATTGCAACAACAGCTTCAGGTACGTAACTTTGTTAAGCTTGTATTCTTTTACTATATTCTGTGTTTCCATAATGCTGTTGATAATGCATTTCTGTAGAGAAGAAGAGGAAATCAGCAAGGCCATTAGCATATTGCAGAGGTTTTTAGTCTTATTTGTGGTATTAGAGGAATTATTGGTTATAAGTAGAACGAGCTGATAGTTAAATGAAAACAGTTGCCAAAACCTCACCTGTTCTTTTGTGTACCAATGTTAGTGACTTTTCTTTCAGTACGAATCCTTTTATGGCTCCAGACTCAATTTTTCTGAGGAATATTGTCCTGTATGCATGTTGTTACTGTTTATGTTAGGCTTAGGGCAATCACCTTAAATGGTCTTGTGATGATAATAATTACACTTTTAGCATGTCTGTTGTAGTTTCTTTCAGCTCTGTTAATATTTTTGGTCAAAAAGATTCAATTCAGTAGTATTTCTGTTGAGATTACAGAAGTAATTCTTCCTCTACCCAGTAATGATGTCTTGCATCCATGTTTCGTTAACATGAGTTGAAGTTATGTTTTGAAATTTTGCCCATTTTTACTTACTAATTTATAAATGATACTAAAAATTTATGTTCTCTTCAATATATACAGGATTATCAGAATAAACTAATCTATCTGGTTCCTGAAAAGCAGTTGTTAAGTGAAAGAATAAAAAACACTCAACTTGAAAACACTCAGAGTAAGTGTCTGCGAATGAATTCTCTCCTGCTTGCATCACTGACTTTTCATCACTTGTAAACAAGGTTGAAGGATGCAGAGGTGTTAATCACACCTTCACTTTTATATCTTTTCAGTTAGTGCCATTATCTCATCTGCATTCCATAATTTACTTCACATTCTAAATAAGGGGCAAACAAACACATTTTTGCAAGAAAGTACAGATTTTGCTTGAAACATTTGTGCAGACTGTATAGCCCACAGACATTATTGCACCTTGTCTGTTTTTTGGTAGTGTGGACTCAAGAGAGTTCATTTGTTTAAAGTTGACACTGGTCTTTACATCAAATCACACTAGAATTCGCTGTCTGAAGAAGCTTACTATAAATTGGTCTGATAGTAAAAAAAAGTTGCAGATTTTTCTGTATGTATGACATGTAATACCTGTATGTCAGTTTGGTGTTGGGGCTGTTTCTTCTTTGTGCTGTGTATGAATGGAAAAGTAAATCAAGGAATTTTTGTGAGGAAAGAGGTTGGGAATGTGTGTATATTAGGAAAATATTAAGATAATTAGTGAAAAGAGAAATCTGTGTAAAATTGCTTGTCTTCCCTTATGCAGATACAGCAGTCAATTCTGTGCACAAGAAGTCCCTAGAAAAAGAAGAGTTATGCCAAAGACTTAAGGAACAACTAGATGCCCTTGAGAAGGAAACTGCTTCTAAACTTTGTGAAATGGATGAATTTAACAGTCAGCTTAAGGTATGTGCATTATCTAAATATCTTGTACCTGTAAGCAATATCTTTTATTTCTCTATCCAGTCATAAAGATTGATGCCACTTCCACCAGGCTTCCAAAAAGCCTTCCCCAACTTCCAGTTCAAAGTCAGGGAGTAAATAATGCAATAAAAACTTAAACCTGTTGCTTAGGTACTAAAATATGAGTCTCTTGCTAACCATTGCTTTGCATGAATCAACTGTTGCTCACTCTCACCTTTTGCCTTCTGGAATTCATGTTGATTTAGAGTTAGGGTTTTTTAGTCCCTTTCAAATTCTGTATACCTTATGTATGAGGTTATATTGGCTACTGTGTTTGAAATGTGTACTGAACATTTGACTTCTATTGGAAGAAGTACATGGTTTCATAGTACACTGTACAAGATCTGGTAGCAGACTTAGGTATTATCCTGTTTGTATAGAATTGAAGAGATATTAACCACTGGCCCCAAAAGCATTTTTATTCCTGAGGCAACTCTTCACCTGCCTAAAAACACAGGCAGCTCTCAGGCAGGGTAGCATGCAATCACTTAACTTTATTTACCAGCTTATTCCTAGTGGCACTGATCGGACCTTTACTCTTAAGTAAAGGATTGATGCTGGGCCAGCGTGAGGGCTCAGCACTCTCAAATAAAAAAATCCACAGAAATTTGTAAACATATCAGGAATTTATTTTCCTTTTAAAATGGCTGCATATGGTGTGTGTTTTCAGTTGTTTATTGCATGGCTTGCTGTGTTCAGTGGCTGCATCCACATTTCAGTCTTCCCTAAGATGTTTTTCAAATTAAAGTGCAAAGATTAATTGGCTTTTTATCTACCTTATCTTACAGTGTGAGAATATGGATGATTCTGTTCTTCAGTGCCTTTTGTCTCTGCTAAGCTGTCTCAACAACCTCTTCCTCTTACTTAAGGTTATTTTCTAATCTTTGGCTTTTTTGGTTTTTAATTATTTCGCAGTTTTTCTCTGCTTACCCTTTCTGTTTGGATGTACAACTTCTATTAAATACATTTTCCTAAAAGAAAATCGATAGGCTCTTTTTCTCTCTGCTAACTTTTACATCCTCTTAAAGACTTAACATTTTCTTACCTGCTTAGAAATCCAAACTGCAGAATACTGATAGCAAAATACTGACTTTTTATTTCTTAGTAGACTGTTCACTAAGTTGTTTTACACAGGTATTTTTCTTGTTAAGGGAATGTGAACCAAAAAATATTGTCTCAGATGGAAACAGTGTCTCTTCCACTTTTTCCATCTGTTGCTCTCTGCCTCTTAATCTGTGAGTCAGATATATGAATCCTTGTCCAAGTTTAAAAGTCTAGAAATAGCATCTCTGCAGAATAATGGCATATGACATGGCAAACACAATGCTGTTAAACCCCCAGATTAACCCAGTACTAAAACCTACTTGCTGTCTTTCCTCAACACTGCTTTTGTCTGCTGGGGTTAGAAATCTGACTTCTAGAATAATTTGTGGGAGCAAAAAACCATCAGAATCCCTTAACTGAGCTTTTAATGTTGCATAAGGGGTTTTTGTCCTTAAATCAAAGATATGAGAGTTTTTGTAATGTAAGTTTGCTTCTGAAGTGACCCTGAGCTTCTCTACAAAATGAGAACAAGTATTCTCAGCAGAATATGTTTGAGGAAAAATTGTAGTCAATTACTTGATTTAGTTTGTGGCTACAGAGAATTTCACTGACACAGCAATCTCATTATCTTGCCTTTGTCATATAAATTGCACAGCACCTCTTAGGCAACATGATTATTATGGAGGGTTATTACAGTGGGAATGGATCATTCTTAATTGATTTATTTGCATTTATGAGATCCCATGTGAAGAGTCAGGGTTTGCTTGTTGCACTGCTCAATGTGTATCAATAGGATTCCTCAGAAAAAATACTGTAGTATCTTACAGGTGGTTTGCAACATGAAGTACAATTTAATTCTATTATTGTTGACTTTTTGTCCTTTTGCAAATTTAATTATTCCAAAGATTCAGGCTGATATTTTTCTGTGGTAAAAAAATTGTTGTCAGAGGCAGATGGAATAGAAATTGAAGAATGTGTTCTAATAAAAACACTAAAATTGTTAAGTTTACAAATAGAGGAAAATTCCAGCTAGAGTTAGTGTCTTCAGGCTATAGCTTTCCATGGTGGTGATCCTGCTGGAGAGTTTTATAAAGTTTTCCTGGTTTAAATATGGGACTTGTCATTGAGAAAGCATCACAAAGGCAAGCACCCTACTGCAGGGATGCATTCTCAGGTATATGGTACTGTGTTGGCTTTCAGTTGAAATCTGCCTCCTTGTAGTTATTTAAAATATGCTTCACTGCCTTCTGTGCCCTTAGGTAATGTTGTGTTTGAACACTCAGTTTTGTATCTTCCCTTCTCTGTCGTATTTGGTGTTTCCAGCAGGTGTATGACTGGAAGGGCTCTTTGAGAGCCTAAATTATGTCAAAGACTTTGCAAACCTGCCATCTCCTTTTGTATTTCAGTTGATTTGACTTTCTTTGCAGTGACCTCCAAGGACTATTAATAACTTAATATTACTTTGGTCATTTGTATTAAAAGTTGGTTCAAAAAAGCATTAAAATGCCTGGATGCTTTTCTCAAAGATTGGCTTTGTTCCTTTTGATGTACTTCATCGTTTTTCCTCCCTAGGATCTGAGAGAAAGTTATAGTACACAGCAATTAGCCTTGGAGCAGCTCCACAGGATCAAACTGGACAAAATAAGAGAGGTAGAAAAAAAAAGAGCTGAACTTGCCCAGAAGAAGCGACTGGAAGATGAGGCTGCAAGGTACCATGGCTGAATGCGTCAGCATTGCGGTTTTTAAAGAAAAATAATGCTGTGGTGACTTTTAAGATAACATATTTTTTGAGGTAAAAATACATCCTATTGGTTGCCTTAGAGGAAACATTTTTTATTGAGTACCAATGGTGTAAGATGGTTTGAATTTCTTCTTTCCAATCTGTTTATCTTCCTATTTAAAAAAACACCTTAGCATTCTGATTTGAGGGATAAATAAACCAAGTAGTCACTTTTACAATTAAGATTTTTAGCTCCTTTAATAGGTAATCCTCACACACTTAAAATTCCTCATATATTCTGCCTTGTTCTGCTAGCCTGCAGCATCTGACTCTTTTCCTTAGAAGCACTTCTGACTGAGCAGTTACCTGGTTTTTGTCATATATATCCCAGCAGTTGTGAGATTAATACTTAATAGGAAGATCATTGACTGCTTAATTCCTATGTTAATCTTGAAAGCTGGATGAGTAAGCAACCTGTGAGTTTTAAATTTGGTTCATTTTTTAAGAGAACAATGAGAAAATTCAGATATATCTTTGAAAGGATCATCCATCCCTTCACTTATATGGTCCTGGTTTTGCTCGGCCCAGCCTTGTATCAAGGCTCAAACTTGTACTGTCCTCAGCTCTTGGTTTCTCATTGTCTTGTTCCTGACTTTCTTTTCTTTTATTTGACTAAGAAGACTTTAGGGTTTAATTCTGGCTGTCTTAGAAAGTCAGATGTTTTTTCCTCTCTCCGGACCTTCTTTGTTTGCTGTACTAGTTTTGACTCCCCATTCAGAGAATTGCTGTGTTTTGTCTTTTTAATTTAACATTTTCAATGATTCATACTTCAACTGTTTTTAAAGAAACAAAGCAAGTGACCTTGTAGTATGGATAATTCATGGTCCTAACCCATGACAGCATTTTTCTACAGTGAAAATCTATCTACAGTGTGATGGAGTCTTACATTTGTGACAGTCCCTCTAAGAGAACCACATGCTATATGTCTAGTGATGTCCCATTAATTTTTCAGTTGCACAAAGCTGTATGATGGAATGACAATATTGCTGAACAGCTCCTGCTAGATATTGCCATGTGCTTGAGAACACATTAAAATGCCCATCAGAGGAGTGGCTCTCCCACACTGATTTAATGAAACAGTCTTCTCTAGGCATGGTCCCTCCTCAACAACCTCCCCAGAAGGCATCCCAAAGGGTTAGGTCCACACTCTTAAGAAGAAAAATCTTGACACCTGTCGTGGTTTACCCCAGCAGCAGCCA